TGTCCTGATGTCAATTAAACCACACTGAGAAGCTGCTGGAGAAGAGCGAGAAACAATTGAAATTGCGTCAGTTGGGGAATTTGTTTGCTAGTTTGTGACTAAACCGACCCTACCGCGAGATCTCACAGTCACTGAGAGCTGCCCTGCGAGGTGAGTACTCCAGAGCAGCTCCTGGGCTGCCAAACTCGGGCTGGTGGGTGCTCCCTGCCCACAGTGAGCCACGGCTGGGACAGGGCTGAGCCCCCACATCAGGGTCTTGTCTCTGGGGGGGCTGCAATGACCACCTGATTAATTAAACGTGGCACGTTGAAGGGAAGGGGGGAATAAACCCCAAAAGTCACAGTTTTACAGCTGGGTTTAGTGAGGCTTTTGCTACCGTGGGGTTGGTTTGAGTGTCTGCTGCGGGGTTGGGCTGGTTTGTCATTTTTGTTGCTTCTGCAGTGGTTTTGTTCGGGTTTTTTTCAGCCCCTTGTTGCTGACAGAGTTGCTTCTCAGAAAGGGAATTGAGCAAATCGTGGTGCAAAGAGGCAAATGATGATATAAAAAGGACTTTAATTTGTTTCAGTTGAGTGGAATGAACAGTGATTTTGGGGGGAGTTGGAGTAAACCAGCTGGAAACCACGGTGGGCTTGGGAGGGATTGAACCTGGGCAGGAGCTCGGGCTGCCCCAAGTGAGCTCCTGCAACGTGAACATTTGGGGGTCTTTTTAAGGGAATTTGTTGAAGTTGCACAATCGACATTGTGAGGCAGAAATTAAAGTTCTCACAGACACATTCTCACAGAGTCGCCCTCACAGAACTGCCCTCACAGAACTGTCCTCACAGAACTGCCCTCACAGAGTCGCCCTCACAGAACTGCCCTCACAGAACTGTCCTCACAGAACTGCCCTCACAGAGTCGCCCTCACAGAGTCGCCCTCACAGAACTGCCCTCACAGAACTGTGCTGCAATCGGCTTAAATATTGCAGAAAGATTTTTTATATTCGAATGTTCCCTTGAGCAAAGTTAAAACTCATACAAGTTATCTGTTGAGACCAAAACTGTTTTATTAATTGCTAAGAGAGGCAAAGAGAAAGAGGAAAAAATAAGAAAAGGGTAGAAAATGCTAAGATTAATTTTTAGAAGCAAAGAAAAAAGATTACCACCAAGAACTACCTATTCGTCTGAGTTGCCTTGTGGATTGGGGGGGGGAGGGAGAGAAAGGAACAGTTTTCACCTTTCTTTTTCTCT